ACTTTATTCCTCGGGTTTCGTGGACAAGAACACAGTGTTGTTCCAGGAAGATGGAGCGTTGGTCAAGCAGATGGTGGAATATGTCAGCGGTACATTTCGCAGAATTTAGGAATCGCGATTTCAACAGTCAACAGAATCATCGTGCAGTTCAGGAAACACGGCAAGGAAACAACTGAGCAGCATCCGGGTCGTCCTGGTCCATCGGAGAGGACAAAAAGGGCTGTCAAGAGGAGCATCGAAATGGATTTCAGATTAACGACTGCAGAAGTGGCCAAAGTTGGTGGGATGAGCCCGAAATCTGCTCAACGAATTCTTCACAGATTGGGTTATTGTTGCAGATATGGGCAAGTGATATAAGGACCAAGCCTCTGGACTTTCGGAAGACCATATTGTTCTCAGACGAATCAAGATTCGCTCAATTTTAGGACAGTAGAAGGACATGGGTCTGGAGAATGCCTCACCAAGAGTTTGGGCTCAACAGATTGCAGCCAACTGTGAAGCATGATGGTTTGGGGAGCTGTTTGGGTTGGTTGGAGATCGAGCTTAGTGGAGTGCGTTGGCAACATAAGTTTTGCGAAATACGTCGAAATATTGGAGGAAGGACTCTTGCCACTTTATTCCTCGGGTTTCGTGGACAAGAACACAACGTTGTTCCAGGAAGATGGAGCACCGTGTCACACTGCCAGAAACACACAAAAGTGGCAGGAAGAAAATGGTATCCAGAAGTTGCCATGGCCGAGCCAATCTCCTGACATGAACTCCATCGAAAACTTCTGGGCCATACTAGACAGGCAAGTCAAGAAACAACCAGAAAAACCAACTTCGAAGAGCGATCTGCTCCAAGTTTTGAAGCAAGAGTGGGCGAAAATCCCACAATCTAAAATTGACGAGATGATTCTCACGATGCCCCAAAGGATCAACGAACTCCACGAAGCGAAAGGAAGATCTACTAGATATTAATTATATTATAAATATATCAATTTATGTGAATATGACTGAAAATTTTCATTTTTTCTGAAAAGGTGGTGTCTATTTACTTGTGACCACGCTATGTACTTGTGTTGGACTGCTGGAGTGGTGAATTGATCAAATTGACATTATTCCCTCAAGACTTATTTCCAG